GGTAATGATAATATCGTTTACACTAGAATTATGATTTTTTAAAATTATTACTAGTTATTACTAATACTTATTAAAGCGAATACTCTATTTATAACTATGTCACCTCAGTAAAATTGGTTGACACCATTGTTTTGATTTTTTAGTTATCATGCTATAAAAAAAAGAAGAAATTCAAACTTTTTGTTATGATATCTACAGACATTTCAGACCTTGTGATTCAGTCATTACATAGATTTTGTTACAAATAGAAAAAACGTTAAATATTGTAAAGTTCCGATGACCTATTGAGATTAGGTATTTAAAATACCATTTCAATGAACAATCCAAGCTATACCTATATAGACAGTGCTGCCATCTGCCTGATTAATTTTCAATAAAGTCAAACCTAGATATATAATATATTAGATATGCACGGGTAGTAAAATTTTGCCGAATACTGGGGCCGGGGTCTCCCCTTAGCCCCTAAAAAACAACAACAAACAACACACACAAAAATTAAAAACAAAAACAAAATTTTTGTTTATTACATTTAACTGAATAATCACCAACAGAACATTCAAGTTTTACTTTCAACTTTCAGTGCCTAACCCCAGCTTCTCAAACCCTAACCCCTGTTATTTTTTGAATCCCCGACTGTCAGCGGGCGGTCAGTTTTTCTTGCTCGGAACACGATTTTTTTTTTTATAACTAAACCAATTATTGACTGTAACTTTCAGTACAGCATTAGTTGCCTCAAATATTAGGTCTTAGATGCCTAACTTCGACATTACCGGGTAGCCCAATACCCGACCGGGGTCGAATATCTGGCCGGGTACCCGTGCATCCCTAATAATAATAGTACTAAAATTAATTGTAGAGTAAAATTAAACTTGAATGCATATTAAGTACTTAAAGGAATTAGTCAGATAACTGTATTGTATTGTTTGTAATTAAGCTACACAATGGGCTATCTGTGCTCTGCCCACCACTGGTATCGAAACCCGCTGTGCCACTGGGGGCAGTCAGATAACTCAAAATAATTTTGGAAAACTTTTTGAGAAACTGGAACCCTCCCCCCAGTGGCACAGCGGTATGTCTGCGGACTTACAAAGCTAGAATCCGGGTTTCGATATCCGTGGTGGGCAGAGCACAGATAGCCCCTTGTGTAGCTTTGTGCTTAATTACAAACAAACAAAGGAGATTCTGTACAGTCTCCATAGATAACAAAACTAAAGACAAGTATCTTAATATGTTTTTCCAACAAGAAGGACTTTCAAACAGACGTCATTTTGTGTAATTATGCACAGACATTTTTGCACGTAACATTACGTTTACGTGTTTGATGACGAGTAAAAGTTTCATATTCTGCACGACTTACTTTCGGCTGGATCAGCGGTAAGTCTGAGGGCTTCTAATGTTAAAAACCGAAGTTTCGATACCCGTTGTGGCCATAGCACAAACAGTCCATTGTGTAGCTTTGCGCTTAACAACAAACAGACAAATGATACTTCACGTGACCAAACATAAATTTCTTTGCGCATGTGCACATTTTCGAGCTGCAAAATTGACTTAAAAATTTCCTGGAGTACAAGATTCTTTTTTGTTTGTTCGTTTGAATTTATGCACAAAGCTACATAATGGGCTGTCTGGTCTCTGCCCACCACGGATATCTAGCGTTGTAAGTCCGCAGACACACTTTTTATGTAATAAAACTATTTTTGAAATATGGAACATGATTTACAGGAATTGTTTTGTTACGTCTTGAAGATAAACGAATAGGCGAGTTTAAACTATTTAGGCTCTTGTGAAAATAGACAATTCACGAACTACATATCAAAATATTTAGGCGAATATTCAGTATTATATAACTTAGGTTTTCATTTTGTACTCATTTGTTTGTTTGGAAAATAAACCATGCCAACAATAACAACAACAAAGATTAAAAATTATGCTAGCTGTCGAGGAGGTCCGAAAGATATACTTTTTAAAGGAACAGACCTGTGATAATACTCTTCTAAAGTGTTGTAAATATCCCTGA